GTATCCATCACAGTTTTCTTTTTTTTTTTTTATTACATAAGTTTATTTTTACATCATTTTGTACATTTTTTTCCCATCTCGATTGTAATCCCCGCGGGTTTCCCATCACCAAATCACCCGTGTGCCATCACCATAATCCCGCCATCACAGTTTTCTTAATTCCTAGGAAACAGTTATGGATCAGTAGTGACCAGTATCTGCATCTTTGGAAATTCAGTGATACTGTGAATAGCTTATTTGCACTCTGTTTTAAACTCACCTTCAAAAGTCTGGGTGTAATTCTTGGCTATGGGTCTGTGGGCCCATTCTTATTTGGAAGGTTATAGTATACTAGAAGAGGCCTGTGTTCAAGCTGGGCATTAACAGTTGTTTTCAGTTAGTTTTCTTGTATCATCCCCGCCAACAACCAAGGCTAGATGCAAAGTTTGAAGTACGTGAAATTCGAGAATAAAATACTTCCTAATTAGCAAGAATGATTAACATTAGAAATTTCCTTTTAAAAAGTTTCTCTCTCTACCTTCTGTTGAAGTAGAATAACATGATTAGATCTTACCAGACAGGATGAATTTCACACCCTTTCCTGATGACAGACTTTAACAGTGGAAGGGAAGTCAGCACACATGGCCTGACAGCACGGAAGTGTTTGGAGCTGCGAAGATAAAGCCAACCCATTTTAAGAATTTGCCAAGGGTTCGGCTACTGATGGTTCTACTTGAAAAGCAGTGTTCTCTGCCAGGAGGTGCCTTAGATTTTTGGCAAGCCTTCATGGCCCTGGTTTGGACCAATCCTGCTTGGTTTGGCATTTGCCCACAAGTGGATAGGTAATCTGGAGAAACTATTTCTAGGAATATCCTTTCTTCTCTTTTCTCTCTAAGCACATAAATTCTACTAAAGAGCTTTCACATTAAGAGTATGCTTCCCTTGTCTTTGTGTGATAGATGGGAGAATCCCTTGTAGAATATACTATATATATACTATATATATATTATGTAGAATATACTATATATATATATATATTAGAATATACTATATATATATATATATATATATATATATATATATTAAACCCCTTAATGGTTTGGGGTCTTGGATGCCCTTTGTTCACATACTAACACAATTAGGTGCTATCCTATGGGCCCTACATCCTCCGTATCTTCTGTATCTATCCTTTCTTCATACCTCCTCTCCCCTGCCAAACTCACTACCTGAGTTTGGCTCTCTCTTGTCTGGGCTCTTGCAAAAGGTTCTTACTGAATTTCCGCTTCTTCATTTTCTTTAACTGCACTCCAGCGACAGACTAAGTCACTCCTCTGCCCCATGTCTGTGGCATCTACAGCATAAAGTTCAAGATTCTTAACTGACCACCTTTAATCTGGTCACAAGTAATCTATCATTACCTGATCCTTTTCTAATTTTGACTCTTGCCTGACCAGACTACTCACTATTTCTTAAGCACATGCTATGGGTTCTCTAGGTCTTTTATGCCCCCATTACCTTGGTCACACTTGTCTTAGTTCATCTCTGCCTAACAAATTTTAACCTCTTCTTCAAAGTCCAATCTAAATGCTCATTTCCATAAAGCTTTGTGACTTTTCCTTTCCCAACCTCAGAGAAAAGTCACTTACTTGTAGAGTTTGCACAGTGCCTGCCAATACTGTCCAATGAGTGAGTAACCTTTCTTACTGCAATTATCACAATGTTACATCTCAATTGGTTGTAGTACATGTATTAGGGGGATACCTCACTTATTCCAAGATCTCTAAATGAACATTGTGTCTCTCACAGAACCTAGACCTACCTTGCACATAGTAAGGACTCCTCATATTTTGTTACAATTCACTTACAACAGAAATGAACTTTCATACACTATTTCATTCCATCTGGACTATTTATTTAAACAGAATTCTACTCCTGATGACAGAGAATTAGTGGCATCTGAAGACTAATTTACTTGCGAGACACAGTGGTAGAACTGAGGACACCTCCCCAATTTCTGATCCAGGGCTGTTTGATTCAACATACTTTCTCCCTATATCAACTAGTTTTCAAAGAATTAGAGTACTTCACAATAGGTTAACTAGGAGGTAATCTATTGGAGAAGCAATGTCTGAGCATGAAAAACCACGCAGCCTTCTCCAAGTGCCCCAGATGACACACAGAGATGGTCAATCAGTGTTGATCATGCACAAAATAGCATGTTTTCACTTATTCTCTGAGATCACTTTGGGTTACTTTTTCATGTCAAGACAGCAGGAAATTTAAGAAGTCAATAGCTCCTCACAAAATTCTAAAGGATCTTATTAACACATAATCCTCTTCACATGGAGGAGTAGTCATATTTCAAGAATAAGACTGGGTTGCAGACGAACAAATTAAATTGCTTTTGGTCTTTTACCTGCAGGTTACATGTACATATGTGTACTTGTGTACACAGCCATGCTCTCTCTCTCTCTCTCTCTCACACACACACACACACACACACACACACACTCAGCAGCAATCTACAAGTAGCAAAAAAATATCTCTAAAGTTACCAATAATGACTCTGTGAGAAGCCCTGGGAAGTTTCTTCCTATTGGTGCTGTATTTTTATTGAACAGGGTCACCCCCAGCAGGAGATTACACCCTATGTTATGGAATCCATCCTCTGTCAAACTACGGATTTTTATGCTATTATCCAACTGGGTTTGTTCAGGCTTTGTGAGCAGTGTCTGAGCATTCCTCTAGGGAGCCTTTGGTGACTAGATTATTCTGGGCTGTGGCTATCTTTGATGCTGCTTTGGTATTAACTAGTGCTTCCTTCAATAATAATTAGAACAATTAGCATGGCCACTGACTTTGGACTGATTTATTCTCTTAAGCTTAGTGCAGGTAGGAAAGATTTAACTGCCCTGGTTCTGTCAGGGTACAAATGATGCCTAGATTTCCACTGCTTAGTCAAGCATTTCTGGGGTTAATTTTCATTAAAATGACCTTGACATTAATGACAAGTGACTGTTTCTGCCCCCATTTGCAATTTTATAATATCCTTTTGTTTGCTTCTCACTAAAGGATACAGAGACATTGCCGAAAGCTTCCATTTGTCCCCATTACATATCATTCTTAATTTTAGTTTCAGAATTGTCTCTTTAGAAGACCCTTGTCTCTCTTCTAGAATACAAAATATTTGCAGACAGGAAATGCATTTTTAAAGACAATAAGTAGGTTTTGAAATGATAAAATAAGCAAACAAATAATTCCACATATGAACTAACAATAATCTAGAAATTCACAAGGAAGCATTGGGTTTGAATCTGGCTATGACATATCATGACAGACGTTTTGTCAGTCCCTTAGCTTCTTGATCTACACCAGCAAAAATAGGGATAATAATGCCTACCTCAAAAGGTTTTAGTGAAGATGAGATGAGAAATATTTTTGTAAAAGCATCGAGTGGAGTTCAGATGAATGCATCTGAGCATCTTGTCATCATACCAGATAGCCAGGACCTAATCAAATGTCCAAAAAAATGTAACTGAAGCAAGAAGAGCTGAATATATTTCTTTTATACCCCCTGGCTGATTCCACTTGTACTCAAATTTAATGTTTTTAAGAACTGTGTAAATTCCTTATTTCCTTTGTAAAGAAACTGACATTCAGAGAATTCAACTTCAAGGTTATGACAAGTGATTAGCATCTTGCACACACAGTTGCACCACTGTTCTGAAAAAATGTGTAAAAGAACCGATCCTCTTGAGCCTAGGGAAGAGATACCTGCTGACAGCAACTCATCTTGAATATATTTTTAGAAAATTTACTTATATATGTGCATGAATATATATATACACACACACACACACACACACACGCATATTTGCTTTATTTCTAATGATTAGATGAACATATATACTCATTCTAGAAAGCTTGGAAAAAAAGTGTAAGAAATGAAAATTACCTCAGTCCTATCACTCAGGGGTAAATACTTATAACATTCTAGCACATTTAATAAAATTGGCATGATTTTATATATTATACTTGAACTTTTTATTTAACAGCATTTTATGAATATGTTCCCCATATCATTAAATAGTCTTAGAAAATAAAATTTTAAAGGGTTGCATGGTATTCTTCCATATGGATTTATCGTAACTCAGGAGACAGAATGAGATGTCCTTAGGAGTCACTTAGATTTGGGATAGTATTCCAGTTCCACCCCTTAGTGATGGGGTGATAAAAAACTGGCCACTCACTCTCATTAAGCTTCAATTCTCACATCTGCCAAATATTGGTACTACTTATCTGAGGTGATTTCTATTAAGGTTAAATGATGTAGAGTATATGTGTACTTAGCATTGTGGCACATAAGGCAAACATTCAATAGATAGCATCTACTTCTCATTGTTACTTTCTCATTTCTTTTTCTCAGATGTTTAGGCTGCTTCTAGTTATAAATAAATACTGGGCGAAGTATCCTTCTATAGCCACCAGAGAAAGCTACCTGGAATATGTATCTGTTCTGGTCACTTCTTTGCTTCAAGATCTTCAATAGCTCCCACTAAGGATCCCTAACCTTTCTTTCCATCAGTGGAATCTTTCCTAAAATAACTTCTGTGAAACTTTCTTAGGAACTTGGGTTATGGTAGGAGTGGGGTACAGAATCTGGACCAATTTCCAGACACCCAGTCAGCCTTACCTTCCTATTGACGAAGGCCCCAAAAGCTGCTCTGAGAAACAATGGGCTACTGTGGACACAGCAGAGAATCTCTGACTTACAGAATAAGAGTGGGCTCCAGAGCTTAGGTGCATGACATTTCCAAACTTCTTAAGAGACTCTGAAAACTTTTCCTACTTCTTTGCTTAAGTGGCTGCTTCTGTCTGGACTGTCCATACTTCCTATCTCCTCAAGGCTAACACCTATAATCAGCTCAGCTTGCTTGCTCTTCCAGAGCTTCTCTCCTCCAGGTTAGTGACCTCTTATATTCTCATGATAAGTAATCAAATTCTTTACCTTTTGGCCACCACGTCCTCCTGATGCTCTGGAGTGGGAGAGGCACTCTTTCTTGATATTGCATTTCCAGTTCTCTGCACAGCATCCTACACTGTACTAAAAGGATTTGTTAAATAAATAAGCTTATAATTAAAATGTGTGGTACCTCTATTTCCTAAGGATAGTAAACAAAAAAGGAATTGGAAAAAAAGTAACTAATAAAGTAAAAAAAAATCATCAGACAACTATAGATATGAGACATTCTGTAGGCAGGAGGAGGGAGACAGATCAGGACAGGGGTAGGAAGAGCACAAGGGACTACAGTGATGGTGCACGGTGAACTGGTGGTGAGAATTTCAAAAATGAGTATAAAAAAAGGATAGTTTCATAGAAGCAGGATGACTGGATGAAAAATAGTAAAACATTTTCAGCCTTTTGATACATTCTTCGTAAAACTCAAAAAAATGGTAGGACATTAATTTGAAACACAACTCTTTACTAGTATCTGTATTTGTGTTTGAAGATACAACTAAAGAAGCCAATTTTTGAGCCACAAAATTCGGTGTCTGCTTGAGGAAATGGTAACAGCTCTTGGAGTGAGTAGTACAGATGGGACCCCAAAGGAAGCTGTTGTCCAGTACACCAGGTGACTGGAGATATACATTACTCAAGGGTGGTAACTACAGCCACTGTGCATCTACATGATTTTTCAATTTATTTTCCCATCTGTAAATGGTCTCTATTAGGAGGTCACTTGATTGAATTGAACCAAATGGGTTGACACATAAAATCTTTTTTTTTTTTTAAAGATATATTTATTAGTGCATACGGAACTGGGGTACAGGCTAGAGGTTCAGGGGGCGGTGAGAGGTTTCACCAGAGACAGAGTGGGGAGCAGAACAGACAGATCTACGAAGTACACTGCTGAGGGGAGCAGCGGGCGGGTCAGGAGAGGTCTGCCATGCTATGTGGTCACCTCTGGGGCAGGTGGGAATCGAACTCATGCGGAAGTGGCTTTAGCTTCTTAGTGCAGTGCTTTAACCCGCTGCACCACCAGGGAGGGCCCGACACATAAAATCTTAACACATACATTTGTGTGTTTTTACTATTAGTGAAGAGTGCTGGATGTGTGTGTGTGTGTGACATTTGTGTGTTTTTACTATTAGTGAAGAGTGCTGGATGTGTGTGTGTGTGTGTGTGTGTGTGTGTGTAATCTGGATTACCCTAGAAGATAGGGCTCATAATTGAGGAAACATTTTAACTGATCTCACTGATTGGCTTGGCTTTTCATAGAATTCTATAATGACCAAGTGTAAACAATTAGCATATAGTCAGATTACCCTGTCTTATCACATGGAAGATAAAGAAACCATAACCATAAAAAAAACATAAAAATGATAAGCTTTAGGGCCCTCCCTGGCAGTACAACAAATTAAGGTACAGAGCTGTGAAGCTAGGCATAACTGCTTCAGTGTAGTTCAATCCCCCACAAGGGAGCTGACCCACATGGCACAGCAGACCTCTTCTGTCTCGACTGCTGCTCCCCTCAGCAGTATAGTTTGTCACTCTGCCTGTTCTGCTCCCCAATCTGTCTCTGGCGAATTCTCTTACTGCCACCTGCACCTCTGGCCTGTACCCCAGTTATGTATGCATAAATAAATAAATAAATCTGTTTTTAAAAAAATGTTAAGTTTTAAGGAGAAGTTGACATGGATTTATGGTACTTTATAAGATCACATATTTCTATGTTCTTATTAAATTTTATGGTTTTAATTACTTAACCTCAATGACTTCGAAAATCCAAATCTGTAGCTCAGACATTTCTCCTGACTTTCAGACTCAAATATCCTACTATCTGAATGTACATTCAGTGAGCTCAAAGTTGCATACATCACATCTTCTCTTCCTTATTTCTCCAAACTTACTCTTCCTTCTCTTTTTATTTCAACACCACCTAATTAGTTACCTCACACCAAAAGTTAAGAATGTATCCTTCACATTGAAGTATTCACCAAATCCTACTGTTTTAACAACTAAATATTGTTTGCTCTTATCTTATCCAGCATCACTATCACCATCCTGATCGAGCCCTCATTATATCTTGCCTGGATAAATGCAGTAACTTCCCTTTTCAACTTGTTTCCCTAGTACTGGTTTTGTTCTCTCCATTCCATCATTCAGACACCTGTCTTGAGCCTATAATCAATCTGGATGAAAAGGAACTGTAAGTGGCAATAGATATCAATGTCTTCAAATCATGTTCTTTAAAAAATATGATGTCATAGGTTAAGACATAATCAGTTCAACATAGTTCTTCTGGAGACAGGTTGACTGCTCAGCACAAAAATCAAATGAAATATAACAATGAACGATATATCAATTCACTTGAAATAATACTCATGGAGAACAGACATTTATTGGATTGTGCGGAGCTGATGTGCGGAGCTGCTGGGAGAGCATGGGGGATTAAGATGAACTTCTCCAGCATTGTGAGGGCCACATGTTATTTGTGAATATGGCAGAGAAAGGATCCATTACTTACACCTATTATAGCCTGATAATTCTAGAGGCCAACATCACAACCAAGGGGACAAGTTTTCTACTCCTAAAATGGTAAATACATTATTAAAGTATCTATGAGCAGCTTTATTACCATGATGAAGTCCCAAGTACCAGGAGCTTTAAATGATGGTATTACCAGTGCTTCCAATCTTTAACACACCTGCAGGTTAAAGAGAGAAAAATGGTCTAAGCATGTTCAGAGAAAATGGCAATGTGTACAAAATGCAATGAAGTTGGGAGATCAGGATAAGACAAATAAGACTCGTAAAATGCGACATGGCATTTTAATCAGTATTTCCCGAACTATCTCTGGCAAAGACTAGTTTTTAAAAATACCCAAGTCATCATGGATTAATATTTTATAAAATACAATAAAATTAATATTAGAAAAATGAAATGTAAAAGGAACAAAAACTATCAAGCCATTTTTAATGACTAAATTACTCAGACATAAAATTATTGTCAAACTGCTCAAAACATGTCTAAGTATTCTTCTTAATTTTTATCTCATTATGAACCAGAAGCAAACAGTTCACACACAAGAACTGTTCATGGATCACATTTGAGTAGCACCATTTCAAAGAATTTACTCAAATGGCATCAACTTTTCCCACAAAGATATACTCAAGGAAAGACAATAATTTATTACTTAATATTCATGTATCTTCTTTCAAAGATGGAAATATTTTGGCTGTTTTGGTTTTTAAAAACTTCTATTTCTGGTTATGTCAAGTTGAGACCATGTCAATAAGAAAATAACTATCAATTCAGTGAACCTCAAGTGAACCTTCAGAAAAACAATGGGAGTGTGGACTAAAAACCCCCATCATGGGTCAAACACTACACGACATACACTTCAGTGACATCTTTAAAGACAGAGCACCCAATGCCACAATAGTGAAGGCAAAGATAAATAGATGGGACTGCATTAAGTTAAAGAGCTTCTGTACAGCAAAAGAGACATTACTAAAAACAAACAG